GTAGTGCTGGCAGCCATAACCTGCTGGCTATGGGTTTAAGGGGCTTTAGGTTTAGGGTACAGGATTTTATACTGACACTTGCAAAGGCGTCTCTGTGCGGTTTAGACATTAGACTTTAGGATTTACGGGCACATACCAGGATGCCAAGTGGAGTTTGATCGGGATTCTCATGCCTTTGTAGAGCAAATATGGCCGGGCCTTAAAGACTATACCTGCTTCAGGGTTTCCGATTGAGGGACGTGCGGCTGGGCAGCCATGCTCCCATGACTCCTATGCTGTGACAGCTTTCGGGCTGCACTTTCTATGCAAGAGTTATACAACACCAATGCTGAACAACATGGGTGTCTCTACGCCCTCATTATACATCCTTCAACCTAAACCTTAAGCCTTAAACCGTATTCCCTGAAACTGAAGGACCTTGATACTTCCACAAGTCTCCAATTCTTCCCAACCCACCTGAACAACCCGGTATCCTGAAGCCCCCCAACCTCAAACCTCAGCCTTCAACAGACCGTAGAGCTTAACACAACTAGAAAGCGGTTTCGGGGTGCATGATACAAACAGTATACGGGGATTAATAAGCTTCAGACTCCCGCATATGATGTGATATGATATGTTATACATGCATGCATGCATGCATGCATGCATGCATGTATGTATGTATGTGAAAGTGTGTACGTATGCATGTATGTGTGTGGTGTATGTGTATATAAACAAACACATACATCCATGCATACATATATCTATACCTATACCTATACCTATACCTATACCTATACCTATACCTATACCTATACCTATACCTATACATACATACATACATACATACATACATACATACATACATACATACATGCAAAAATATCTACACACATATGCACAGATATACAGATACACATTTATGTACGCATATATACAGGTACACATACGTATATAGATACATACACACACACGCATACCTACATTTATACACGAATCCATCCATCTTATCCAAGCCGCGGTGGAGACGAGGGAGTTGATCTGTGCGAACCTGGGGGCTTGGGTTACTCGAGTTAGAGTGTATACCAAGAGTTGCTTACGAAGGGGTACTAGTTTGGATTTGGGATTTCGGGGTTAGGGTTCCGGGTGCTATGAAGGCTGTTACTATGAGGGCCTTGGGTTGGGCGTCTGGGGTTTAAGCGTTGAGGGCTGAGAGGTCCCGGGGTTTAGGGTACCCACGGTTGAGGACTCTGGGCTTGTAGGGCGTAGGAGTCGAGGCGACTTTATGGAAGGGAGTAGGATTGATTGTCGTAGATTTGAGGATGTAAGTACTTTGGATGGTATAGTGAGTTGCACATCCGCATCCCGTGATGGCAACGGCGGCTCCCTTTAGAACTGAACTGGATGAAGGCCGAAGAGGTTCTGGGTTTCGGCTGAAGCCTGGCCTTTAGCGACTCCACCCCCGACTGGGAGTTACGAAATCCGGAACATTGAGCTGGTTATTCTTATTTTAGTATAATTGAGAACCAATCCAAAGTGCAACAAATCTCGCTTAGCTACTCTGGCCACCGGGACTTCGTGTGTGTGTGTGTACGTATGTATGAAGAGAGAGAGAGAGAGAGAGGGAGAGAGAGAGAGAGAGCGAGAGAGAGCGAGAGAGAGAGAGAGATACATATACATATATATATATATATATATATAGCCGAAAGACGAAGATCGACCCCCCGATGCTGAACTATGTGAGACGTAACGGTTTTGGTGATTGAGCAGATTCACCTAAGCTGCTGGCATGGCTGAACTCACACCCAGGAACAACAAAGTTCACAGAAGGAGACGGGCAAGCCGACGCGTGTGCACGGGCCAAATTGCAAAAGCCTACTTACTTCCTACCCCCAAAACCCTAAACCCTAAACCCTATAAACCCTAAACCCTAAACCCCCAAAACCCCATTAAGCAAAACCCTGAGGTGCCAGCGTAGGATTGGTCAGCTTCAGCCGATCCTTGGCAGTGCGATTCACTACAAGCCTGGCGGAGCTGACCACCCGAAATCCTTCCTTGACTACCAGTAGCACTGCTACTCCTACTCCGACGATGGCGATGGCGATGATGATGGTGTTGATGCTGCTGATGATGACGATGATGCTGAAGATGACAGTGATGACGGTGGTGGTGGTGGTGGTGGTGGTGGTGGTGGTGGTGGTGGTGGTGGTGGTGGTGCTGCTGCTGCTGCTGCTGCTGCTGCTGCTGCTGCTGCTGCTGATGTTGATGGTGATGATGATGATGATGACGATGACGGCAGAGAGCATCTTGAGGATAAAAAATGCGTTCTTGCTACTGCTACTACCGCTACCAGTCCAACGACGACGACCACTACCACCAGCAGCATTTTCATTCCCAAGAAATGCTCTTTTTGTCTAGCTAATGCTATGTTGTTATGCTGTGATGGTATCTTCTTCAGTCTCATGAGTCTCACAGACGCGGCCGACAACTCATACAATCACAAATCCAGGCCAAAGGATCCATCGCGATGCGATTCAGAGCAGTGTTGTCCAGCACAACGACGCAATCGGCGTTCAGAGCTAGCCTCTCGGGGTTCTAGCATAATGCACTAGGCGGGGACTGTAAGGACCATGCCACGATCAGAGCTCCAAAATTATGGAAGTCCGGATTTCAAAGCTGCAAGGCCTGAAGAGTTCAAGGATACGAGCTTGCCACAACCAAGGCTTGAGTTCCAGCCTTAGGGTTTAGGGTTTTTTTTTGTTAAGTGTGTTGTGGGACTTTCTCTCTGCAGAGGTCCAGTCACAGCCCTTAGGGCCCAACACCTAGAACAAACCCCTCTCATTGCTTGCCCTTCACGACAGCGGAACTTGCCATGGACATCCCCAGTGTATCACTCGGGTGGGTTTAGGGGTTTAGGGTTTAGGGTTTAGGGATTTAGGGTTTAGGGTTTAGGGATTTAGGGTCTAGGGTTTAGGATTTCGGGATTTAGGATTTAGGGTTTAGGGTTTAGGGGTTAGGGGTTTAGGGTTTAGGGTTTAGGGTTTAGGGTTGAGGGGTTTAGTGGTTCAGGGTTTGGTGCTTGGGACTTAAAAGGTTTGGGATCGATCCTGCCTCTTCAGCGTCAGCACCTGGGATGGCGAAACATCACATGGGTAGTTGTCAAAATTATGGTCCCTTTTGGGGTACCCTAAAAAATAGGTGCCGTATTATAAGAAGGACCCAAAAAGGGACCATAATTTTGACACCACCCACATCGTAATCATGGAGCTCTTCCATATTCTAGTCGGTGAGCCCTATAAGCTCTACTACAGCCACCAGACTTGCCGAATACGTGCAAGATCAGCCCTTAAACCTTAACCCTCTAAGCCTTTCAGCCCTAAACTCCGGAGCCCCAAACCGCTCAAAGCTCTTGAGTACACCTTCCCGAAAGCCTGCATGCGCGAAGCGCATACGGCCGGAAAGTTCAAGCCTTGACCAGCATTCTTGCGAACTTTTAAGCTACCACAGTAGTAGGGCTATATGCGGTAAACAGTAGTCGTTACTATGGCACCTGAAATGATATGCCCGGAAGAGAAGTTGAAGGCTTGCATCCTTAAAGTGCAAGCCAAAAAGAAGCTACCCTGGCAAAGTCTAGAGGTAGGAAACTGGCAAGGTTAGAGGATACAAGGAGGTGCCGCTGCAAGTGAGCCCGGACCCCTAAGCCATAAAACAAAGACATGAAGCCCTCGCGAAGGCCTCGCCATAGAACCCTTCCAGAACCTCGCTTAGTACCCTTAGGGAAAACTCAATGACTCCCCTATCGTCGGCCGAGTGCAGAGTTGTACGGCTGCACGACGACATCGCTGGTCTCCGAGGACAACAGAGGAAAGACCTGGGGATCAACAAGTCCAGCAAAAACCCTGAAACCAGCATCCCCTATGCCGCGTCAGAAACCCCGAACCCTAAAACCCCAAAACACGAAAGGCCCTCAACCCTAAAACACCTTAATCATTGGACCCTAATGCCTGATGCCCCGAACTACAAGTATTCATCCTTCTACACCATGGCCTTCAATGACTTCCTCCTATAATATGGCAACTCGATGTCCCAAGTGCACCCTCCCAGTTGCTAAGTTCCTGAAAGACAGGGTTAAGTAAGGCCAAACCCTAAACAGCATAAGCTCTTAAAGAACCCTAAACCCTAAACCCTAAACCCTAAACCCTAAACCCTGGGCAGATTTGGGACTTCTAGTTGTTTCAGACCCCTAGCAGTTTCGAAACGATCTTGGAGATTCTGTACACAACTCAGAACGAACGAACGGCAGGAAGCCCAAACCCGATAACCCCAAACCCCAAACCCTAAACCCTAAACCCTAAACCCCTAAACCCCTAAACCCTAAACCCTAAACCCCTAAACCTTTAAACCCTAGACCCCTAAACCCCTAAACCCCTAAACCCTAAACCCCTAACCCCTAAACCCTAAACTTGTCAACCCGGAAGCACGAGCGCAAACAATCACGAAACGAAAGGCTGCTTGCATGCAAGATACTGAGTACGTCCTCAGCTTGGGAAGGGGCTTCTGTGCTAAGGGCTGGAGACATGTGGATGAGGCAAACTCTAGCTTGTTCAGGCGATGACCAAGCACTGCGCAGTGTAAGAGCATCATGTTCGAGATGGACCTCTGACATGCAACAGCTCTTCCTGAATTCTCGGGGCTCGTTTCTGACTGCGCTAGGCCTATCCGTTAACATGGCCAGCAAAATCATGCCGGACTGTCTTGTCAACCGGAGCGATCTAGAGTAACCCTCAATTCTTGCAATCCTATAAACCCTAGGGCTCCAAGTCTGCACATGTGCACATCGTACCTACTTTGGGCCATTTGGAGCCCCACAAAAAACCCTGGCGACAAGATGTGGGGGTTTCCGAAAATAGGGGACCCTAATATAGCAGCCTAAATAATAGGATCCCTATTATAAGGACGCCCAAATTAAGGTACCCCCAATTTTCGGAAACTCCCATGTGCAGTCGAGGATCTGAACCAACTTCTTGGGATATCTGTCGTTGATGGCCTCAAGAAGGAAGGAGCCCATTCCAGAGCCGGTGCCTGCAAGCAGGCGAACAATTTTTTTCGGGAATCCTCGACTCCAAAGAGAAGTCAGGGTTTTGGTTTAGGGTTTAGGGTTTAGGGTTTAGGGTTTAGGGCTTAGGGTCTTAAACCCTAAACCCTAAACCCTGAACTCCTAAAATCTGAACATCCAGCCCTGAAGCCTTATTCCTTACAGCTCCGAACCCGCCTCGCTTGGAAAACAAGGGCTTCACGAACTCACTCACCCAAACTCCAAGCCCCGGAGCCCTATAAATCCGAATCAAATAGCTCAAAGGCGCTTCGAGTTGCACGTTCTTTCCATGAGTACTGCAGGAGGCCCAGGGGACTTAGTAAGTCGGTTATAAGTAGGGTTATCATTGGGGTAGCTCCAGTTAGGGTACTCACAACTCTACTTATAGCCTACTTACTAAGTCCCTTGGGCCTCCAAGTACTGCAGGAGGCCTTACACCGCACAAACACAGACCCTAAACCCTAAACCCTGAACCCTAAACCCTAAACCCTGAACCCTGAACCCTAAACCCTCGTCGAAGCTCGAAGGGGCAAAATCCAGGGACATCTGGCCCTACACGAGGTGCCCCCGTTTAGGGTTCAGGGTTTAGGGTTTTGGATTATGCCGAAAGCTTCCAGAGGAAAGATCTGCGACCTGAAACCTAAACTTTAAAACCTCAACCAAACGCAAACCCTATATTGCGGCTCAGGGTTTCTGGGGGTTGCTAGGGGAACTCAAACCCAACCGGCCTCCTGCGATGGAGTGGATGAGGACGAACCCTTCCTTATAAGCTGAAAGGGTCGAAACCGAGAGGTTGCGATAGAGGTTGGGTTTTCCGTTGTTGGTTCGGGGTTTGGGGTTTAGGGTTTCGGGTATACCTGGATCGAAAACTTAGGGTTTATAACTCCTCGTTTGGTTTTTTTTAAACAGCAGTCTTCTAGTTGTGGCTCAAGCAGTGTTTCTGATGCTGCTGATTTCCCAATCAGAAGCCTCGAGGAGAAATGAGCTTACAAAGAAGAAGTTCGTGTTTGGGTCGTGGGAATCTGCCGTCCGGAGATGTGAACATAGAGTTCTCTGGGTCTGGTTTTTACTGGCATGATACTTTTTCACCAATTCTTGAGTCTGACGGACGAAACCCCGCAGCAGGAACATGCCTCCCAGCAAAGACCCTAATAATCGAGCGCCTGAAGAAATCAAAGGTTGTATTGTACCAAAGGAAAAGTACTGCTAACTCCAAGTTTGCGGGGGATGGGGTGTAGGGGCTTTAGCAGACGTGTGCTAAAACCAATAGACCCGTAAAACCTCCGAAATGCCCTGACCCGCAAGCTAAACAAATTCCAAGCCCGGCTTGGGATCTATGTTTTTGGCTGCACTGTAGGGACTCCGAAGATAAACCTGGCGTAATAGTATCTGATTCGAAGGACCGGATGCGTGCAAGAAACAAGGCTGTCTGAACCATCTGCCTCGCGATCGACCATGTCAAAGACTTCCTTCGTGCCGTCCATCTCGGGCTAAAGTTTCTTCGACAAGAACGGGTTCCCAAAGGGGTTCGCAGGGTTTATCAGATGTTATGCGGTTGGCAACAGCGTTTGGTGAGGATCTCTTTCTTTCTGAGATAAGCGCCATCCTGGTGAGGTGTAGTGCACATGGTATGAGAAAGAGTGTGCGTGACATTTTGGAGCAGCAGAGCCTGGTTCTGGTCAGGGAGAGAACGTCCTTAAACCCCGAACCATCTTGAATGGCCCTTTCGGGAGTTTCAGAAAATGCCTAGACCTTAAATCCCAAACCCTTAAGCCCTAACCCTATATCCTATAATTCCTAAACCCCGGGCTCTGGATAACCCCTTAAACCCTAAACCCTATAATTCCCAAACCCTGATACTAAACAAACCCTGATACTAAGCCCCTATAGAATCCTTAAGCCCTAAACCCCATAATTCCCAAGCTCTGATACTAAACCCTATACAATCCTTGAACCCCAAACCCCCCAATGTCGAGCCAAAAAGTCCTCCTGCACTTTCTCGGCAGTGCTGTAGCCTGGGCTCATAAGGCGGAGCAGCCGTCATGGACCAGAGTTGAGACTCGAGAGTTTCGAGCTTGGGGTTTAGGGGTTTAGGGG